GACAAGATGTGTCAGAAGAACACATTAGGCATATAATGCTTTATGAATTTAAGAAAGGGAATAACGCGACTGCATCCACGAGAAACATTCGTGATGTTTATGGCGAGGAAGCTCTGAATACGAGGAAATGCCAAAGTTGGTTCCAGAAATTCAGGTCTGGTGACTACAGCTTAACTGATGAAGCACGTTCAGGCCGACCTATTGAGTTTGATGATGAACTGCTGGTGGCTACACTCGATAAAGATCCTGCTGTAACTGTTGAAGAACTTGCTCAGAAGCTCAGTTCCACCCATTCTACCGTTCACCGCCACTTGCGACGGCTAGGAAAAGTGTCAAAACTTGGAAAAGAGGTTCCACATGTGTTGTCACCAGACAATCTTAGGGATCGAGTAAACATTTGCTCTTCCCTACGCTCTCGTGCACTTCAAGCGCCGTTTTTGAATCGACTCATTACTGGGCATGAAAAATGGGCGCTTTATCACAATGTTAAGCGTCGTCGACAGTGGGCTAGTGCCGGGGTACCTGCTGTACCACATGCAAGAAGAGGTCTTCACCTCAGGAAGGTTTTGCTGTGCGTTCGGTGGGATATTCTTGGCGTTGTTTATTTTGAACTGTTGCAGCCCGATGAAACCATAACAGCGGAGGTATACTGCCGGCAGCTCCAAAGTTTGAGCGCTGCATTGCAGGAAAAACGTCCTTCATTGGCCGATCGCAAGGGTGTTTTGTTTCATCGGGACAACGCGCGTCCTCGTACCGCTCGGATCACGTGTGCCAAAATCGAAGAGCTGGGTTGGGAAAAAATTCCACATCCGCCGTATTCGCCAGACATTGCACCCTCCGATTACCACCTATTCGGAAGTCTACAAAAGTATCACAACGGAAAAGAATTTGAAAGTTTGGAGGCTATGAAAAGTGACCTGTCCGCATTTTTTGCTTCAAAGCCAATGGAATTTTATAAACATGGAATTGAAATGCTTGTAGAAAGATGGCAGAGAGTCATAGAGAACGAAGGGGAATATATACTTGATTGAAACTTGAGGAGATGCAGGTGCATTTTAATTTTGAAAAACAGAGAAAAAAACTACATTACTTATGGGATGACCTGATAATTGAAGCCACAAGTATTTTCCAATGTCATCCTTTACCCCGCTTGAGTTATCGAATCAAGAATAGACTAGAATGGGTAGTTTCGCACCTACTCCGTAATATAATAATGCTTGTTTGAGAAGTGACGATTCAAAACAAGTTTGAAAGGGCAGCAGAGGGGAGCTTCTGTAATGCAAACATACTAGCATCATTTTTTGAGGATCAGAATGTACATTCGCGTAGATATCAACGATTCAACGAGTATCCTCGACAATCACTATTGAGAATGAAGAAAATGTCCCTTTTCAATTTAATTGTGATATGAGATGCTTGAATGACATTGTTCGTGCGTTTTATTTTAACTCTATGAAGCATAAACGTAGCTGGTCATGCAGTTTTTCCTCATCTCACCTATCTCGTTTTGCGTTCATGCAGGAAAAAATCCTCTCTTGAAGCCCCCATCTGATGCAATCAAGGACATGAAGAATCTGGAGAAATTCTTTTGTTCAGAATGCAATCTGGGTCCAACCTTTTCTAGCGGTCTCCTGGAGTTCCAGTGCCTTGAAATTGGTAGTACTCCGGAGCAACAATATCTCCAGACTGGATCAAGGAGCCATCAAAGGTATGATTACTCTTTATATCTTGTCATAGGAAATACCCGCTTCATAATCCTCATCGTAAATACAGGCTAAGACATTTAATCCAACAGGTGTATGTTGTCACGCTTCCCATGGAAAAGCCTACTTAGCTGGTTGACTTTCATCAGATATCTCGTTGTTCGTCGTGGAAATTCTAAACTCAAATTTATTCTGGAATTTATTCCACAAACGAACGCATTAGCAAAAGAATCCACTAGGTGAGACGATGAATAATCTTCCTTGTTATTGGTCATTGAGTAAAGGGACATCATGCCCCAAGTGAAAATTCTGAATTCACTCTCTTCAGATAAACCAAGTTCTTCAACTTCACATGGACAGAAAGCATACCTTGCAGCGAATTTTCCTTCAACTCTATCAGTTTCACTGAATTATAAATGTGTTGTCTCTCCTCGATGGATACGAGCTGGCGTAGCATGTCCAGAAGGAATTTGTAAATTTTTTATCCTATAGCAAGTCAGGTATAAGAAAGGGTGGGACACCATGGAACACCGAGCACGGTGAATCATTCCCTCCAGCACCTCGAAAATTGAAGATGCTGTCATTAAATTCGCATGCATGACCCTCATGCCGCTGCAAGTTTGCTCACGCACTCTTGGCATTTCGTACTATTGCTTCCATGCAGTTTTAGAGAAAATCTTAGATAAGTCGTCTACCATCATAACTCCAGGCGGTTCAAAGGTGATTTCGAGCAATGGAGCACAAGTTGTCTGGGTTGATGGTAAAACCCTTCCTACAGTTATTCTTTTCCAAGGAAACAACTCACAAAGCACATGCTTCCCAAAGCTCCTGAAGAATATTTAGGGTTGGCTTCTCCATCTGGTTGGATCATATCTGAAAACTACTTGCGTGCTGAAGTACGAGTATATCTAAAAATTCACGCGACATAGTTGTCATCCCCCACTTCTTTTGTCAATCACTAAAGCTAGCTCGGAAATTTCAAGTCTTGTTTTTTTCCTATGAATATGCCATTCCTACTATTTTCCTACGGACATTCCTACGAATATTCGGCAAGGTTAAATTGGGGGAGGCAAATGGAGAGAGAGATTTAGGAGTTTCTATCGACGATGACCTAAAGTTTTCCGCTCACTTGGGTGGCCAAATGCAGCAGGATTCATTCGGTTGCAAGTAGGACTTCCCGCGTTATTCTTCCGTTATATGCGGCGCTGATAAGACCCTAGTTTTAGATACCATTAGTTATTGTTAGCCATTATTGTTGTCATTCTGAGGCTTTCCTTCATTTGGTAAAAATCATTACAAATGGCAATACTTTTCGATAAATGTCACGCCATCAACAAATATTTGTCTTGTTTTCATCATTCTTGGAGAGGCATTTTTCCGAAGAGCTGCCTATAAACTGTTCATGCATGTATATTAATGGGCATATTATATACTTCCGAGTTTATTTGCCCTTCGGGCAACCAACTCGCTATGATCGCGCCTTCAGCGTTCCATTGTTCAGGATAGTGATTCATTCATTATTTCATTCATATTCGAAGTGGAAAAATCTTATTAAAAGTATGTTCCTGTGGAAATTGGAGATTTGAGGGAACGAAAGGAAATTTTATCGAAATAATTACTATGTTGATTTCCTGTGGGTCTAGCTTCAAATCTCTTCATAACCTGCCCTGAGCGGACATATTTGAAAAGAAGGATATGCACTCAGCAACCGAACAGGTACTTCTGCTCTAGCTCTTAACTTTCTATAGTTCTGTCTTTTATTGGATCAAAAAAGATTCAGGAAAATGCGCATTTTGCAACAAAAATGTGCCATCAGGTATTAGAGTTTTTACGGAATTCTATGCCATTTCTATCTCCCCACAAATTGGGGGCCCCCCAGGGCATGAACCTCCTGAGTCTGATTTTTTCTGAACTCTGCACCCCAATCTCACGTCCGCGGCATGCTAAAATAGCATTAGAGCTTCTAGTTAGTTCCTCGAATGGCGTTTTTTATTTGCATTCCGGGTATCGGACCAAATACGAGGGTTGAACTGAATAACAACAAAATCGCTGCATTGTCTGAGAAGAGTTTCCGCCCAATATTGGACATCCTCTCTACAGGAGACGGAATCCTCTCTCTAGACGGTGAGTTTCAGTTTTTCACCATTGAATAACAGGATTCTTCGTCACTTCGTTCATCTGCTACATTGCTTTTTTTGTCCCGTCCCTATTCCAGGCAATCCTATCCGATGTGGATGTGACATATCATGGCTAGTGGTCGGTAGAAGATTTCTAAAGAACATTTCTGGGAAGTGTCACAATGGGACAAAATTCAAAGACTTGAACCCACATGTTATGAAAGGCTGTGTTCGTGAATGTCCGTACCAGTGTGTTAAGAGAGAATGGTCGAGTTTATGCAACCCAGGGACGTTTCTTTTGAGATACTGTCCCTCCGAGCGAGTATGCTGCCAGACGAACTTTCCAACTGACACTACAACATTCACTCTTGAAGGTGACGTCCCCATTTGCATTTTATTTAAGCGATTGCTATGTAGGTTCCCAACTTTTGGTTCCATGCCAAACGAAAGGTGAAATTGATTGGCCGGGCCTTTTTTAATTTGTTGTATCACTTCGTTGCCATACCTTGAAGACGGCCAACTAAAAGAGAAAAGCTCTAATTAAAGTAACCATCTCCCCTATAGCTCCAACCTGTCCCCAAAGACATTTAGCTATTTGGGAAGTTAAAAAGTACTCTCGCAGGCCATAACTTACAATAAGACGATGTCGTGCAAACAGCAGTAGCTCGTAGGCTGAGTACCATTTTAAATTAAATACACGTCATGCATGATATTGCATGATATGAATTTTGCCATCATCTTTGCCGTGGAGAAAAGTGAAAATTGAAGATATACCCTAATGTATTTATACCTAACATAGAGAGAACAGAACTACCCGAAAAAAAGTTAAATGGTCAAATATCCAAGAGTCCATTAACTTCTAAAGAAACCCACAGGAAATTATAAAAGAAAAATTATGCAGATGCAATTCATCGAGACACAAAATCACAGACGGTTTATGAGTGGAATTCAGTGGATGCATTCATTGCAGTTACGGTCATAACAGCAACTCTTCAGTATTTTTCTGCCAACAGGCGAAGTGATCGAATGCGGACAACTCAGCAGCATTAAACATGGATCCTTTACTACTGAGTCTTGTACCAGTCTGTCTGAAGATATAGCTGAAAAAAGCAATGCAAATTGCCTTCAAGATGGATCTATGCATTTTGGAGCGTCGTTAGATACAGATGCGAGAAATATTATGAACTGGAGGGACCGGAATACAGATGTGAGGAAGATGGAGAATGGACCGGACCCACCCCGTTTTGCAAGCCAAGTCGGTATCTTTTACTACCATATTCCCTGTTTACCTGACATACCTCTGCTATGTCCGAATACCTATATTTGTACCGTTCTATACGCAGTATGCGGGAAGAAGGAAAGTCAAAATCAGCTATCAAAAGGAGGAAACCAATCTGAAACTGGAGAATGGCCATGGCAAGCAGCCATCTATGACGTCAAAAAGGATGATGTCATTTGTGGAGGAACACTCATTAAGGAGCAATGGGTGCTGACGGCGGCCCATTGTGTCGTTATAGGGATTTCCCGCAGGATACGAAACGCTACTGAAATTTCGGTGCACCTAGGGAAACACAATCGACAGAATGTCAGAGACGAATACTTGCAGATCAGACAGGTTCAGTGAGCCAGACCTTCTCGTACTTCCATCAATTCGATTTCTCTTAATGAAACTGACACTATTTCCTTGCAGGTGTCTCATATAATCTTGCACAAGGACTTCAACATCTATAATAACTATGACTCAGACATTGCTCTATTGAAACTAACAAGAGATGCCGTGCTGACCGCGCGAGTTCAGTTGGTATGTCTCCCGAACCGATTTGATTTCTCTGAGACAAACCTCGACAGCGGAGTGCCAGGATGGGTAAGACACGAAATATCTTAATACCTCTGCCTAAATTTTACCTTCATCGTTCTCGTTGCATCCTTTCTTCTTCCATTATATGATGATGCAGGTGGCTGGTTGGGGTTCTGACGGTTCAGATGAACTCGCAGCTGTCCTGACGGAGATTCAACTTCCTGTGATATCCAATCCCAAATGTGTCCGGGACACCGTTCATTTCACGGGAATCCGCGGCGTTACTCGTACCCTCACCTCAAATATGTTTTGCGCTGGTCTTTCTGCGGATACTCCTCTTGAAGGTATGGTCTTAATATCCGTGAGTGCGTCAAATTCGCATAAATGCATTCTAAGAGTGTTGATTGAGCTCCTCGCAATTCCGCACGCATGCCTTGGTAAACCTTGGAAAACACTTCAGTCTTAATGGACACGAGTGTGGACATGCTCGTGCACGCGTGCAACCGCCTACCTGCTCCAGCATTGAAGCAAAGGACGCATGACACGCAAAGTGTGAATCACCATATGAACCAATTCCAAGAATGAAACTAAAGATTATTTCTGCTTTCGCGTTAGGAATTCCTGTGTCGAATATTCTCGGCCGCTTTACTTTAGGGAGTTCTAAATGGCACCTCTGAGGAATTCATCACAATGTAGGAATTGCTGGAATCCGTCATTGCAACAATGTTGCCTTATCCGCACATTACACAACTTCATTTCCTATGCATTGCTCGGAATACTCCGGAAAACGTTCTTATAATGAAGGCGCATTACAGCGATCACGGATCGACTGCAGGAGGTTGGGCTAGTGCTAGTGGGAGAAGAGACAGCAGACCGAGAGTACCTTTGACCACGACTGGTGAAAGGGGTGAAACCTCAGAGGTGAAACTAATAACAATTCTACATCCCAAGACATGTTCTCCATGTGATATCCTTCACATATCTTTAAATGCATCCTGCTCATAAAGTAAAAGAAAACTTGTGTCTCAAAGAAAAAGTGTCGATGTAAAGAACAGTTCTGGCAATTCCCAGATTATTTTAAATAGAATTACCACCGACACTTCCCTATTATTAAATAATTTATTTTGATAATGAATGGGGAATATCAATAATTATGACGATTCTTACGGTACAGATTATCGAACAGTGTGTCCTGGGGACTCTGGGAGTCCCATGGTCTTCCTCTCCAATACATCACGGGACAGCCACTGGACGGTGGAAGGGATCGTGAGTCACTTTTTCCAGCAAGAAATTTGTTCCATGAGGCGCCCCGGACAGTATGGCATTTTCACCAAAGTCAATAGGTGAGATAGAGTTAATTCAGCTCAATTATTTCATTTGCATTCCTGTCCACCCTTCTCGTCAAAACATTACGTTTTTCTCATTCTTCCCTTTAGGTTCACCCAGTGGATCAACAGGGTTATATATAGTGGCTTCTGACGAATCGGAATCGATTCAACTTGATGCAAAATCTGGACAAGCAGAAGTGAAATAAATTTATGTTAACTGGACATCTGCAATTTTACCAATACACACACGCACACCTACACGCAAGTTTGCACTGCATCCGCACACACACATATGACGTGAGTCATACCATGCATTTCAGTCATGAGACTGGTCGAGCCAATAGCTTGTTGGCAGCGATACTGGCAGACGGACTGAAACTGGGATTCCTTCTACCTTGGTACTAGCAAGGAGATGCTACGTTTTGGCATGAGAATTCATATTGCCAGCAAATCGGTTGAAAATACCCAGGAAAAAAATTGGAGTACGGAGAAACCCGCCTCCAGGATGGAACGACAAGCGATGAAAAAAATACGTCCGAGGATCAACCTTTTTCTTTGTTTATATAATTTATGATATAAATAAATATAGCAGACAGAAGCGAGAATTTCTCTGTTGTGGTTGAAGGACTTTAAGGAAAACTAGAAATCCGTTTTCAGCTGTTCGATGCTCAATATAGCAATTTATTTAGTCTTGGTCGAGCGTTCGTAGCGTGAGGACGTGTTGGAGGATACTCTCGAGGTTCTATCAGATAAGTCGTGAGTTAGTTGTTACCTGCCTACTTAGTAGCAGTATTGATAAGTTTTCTGATAGCTACCTCCAATTTCACATTAGATCAGTACCAAACAGCTATACAGCCAAACAGCCAAACAGCTACGATAAAGGAATACTGTCATAACCTCGGTGTGTCCATCAATTCAATCGTGGTGAAAATTTGCTGCTTCCCTAATGGGGTGCAATTTCATTCTCTTTTAGAGCCGCCTGAATGCAAGCTGACGCGAAGCGGCGGTGAATATGTTGGAAGGCGAAATACGACCATGTCGGGATTGCAGTGCCAACATTGGCTGGCACGATTTCCAAATGATGTCACTTCGATAGCCAACTCACTATCAGGATTTTCAGATGAAGTGGATGGGAGTAACAACTTCTGTCGCAACCCTGACGACTCTGCTCATGGTCCATGGTGCTATATTGAGGAAAATGACTACGAGATCGTAACTGAATATTGCAACGTTCCTTATTGCCCTCGGACTGGAGAAGGATGTCATATTCTTGTTTTGGGATATTGCATAAGTAGGTCATCTTTCTTTGTTTTCTTGAATGTCTTCGGATTTCTCAGTATCATTTTCCCTTCCTTCGTGCCTTCTATAAATTTTCCTACATATCTTATTCATGACATTCCGTCATTGCTTATTTTCAACCAGGTCCGTTGGAGTGCAAAATATAATTATTGGGGATGCATTGATTTGTAAGAGTTTCTATTTAAGTTCGTCGTGCCATACAGTGTCGCAGGCCTTATGAATATCTGGGAAAATAGCAATTGCTTATTTCTGTTCATTTATTGCCAGGACCAGGGCCGGCCATAACCATTTCGGCGCCCTTTTCAGTAACACTCCCAAAGACCGGTCATGCACTTAGACGCGTTTTCTCGCACCTGGTGAGTTTCCAACATGCCAAAGGCCTGCCCTGATTGTCATTGAGTATTCTTGTTCAAGTCTGAGTTCGTCGTTTGTTGTAAATTTCCCTTTTGGAAGACACATTCTTTTTTAAGTTAGATTTTTTTTCTTGGAATCTGGCGATGAGTCTACTCTTAATAATTTCAGTAAGATTTTCGGTGTGCGATAATAGAGACATAGGGTTTTTTTTCACGCTTGTTGTGTTTGTCAAGTTTTTATTTCAACTGTGTGCCATGATCGGACTTGAGTTCATTTTTTGGATGGACGATGCTCATTGCTTTCGACCTAACCCACTCTATACGAGTTCTTTCCCCTTGCAGTCCCCGCATGAACCCCGACGAGTTCATGTTCTCGCCCATTGAGGGACTAGAGTTTTGAGGGACTAGACTCGAAATCCATGGACGGAAGATGAGAAAGCAATTTGAAAAGAAAGAAAGAGAGAGATGGAGAGAGAAAGAAAGAGTGGTCCAATTCAAAGATTTTCAATCGCAACTGTGTTCTTCTGGGATTCTTAAGGAGATTCTCCTTTCCCATTATCATTCAAAGTAAATGAGAGTATCTTGCTCAATCTGCCTTTCGATTTTGGTTGGCGAAGCTCACTTCTTTACTGAGGACATTTTCTTGAATTTGACTTTTTTTTGGGGAGGGGGGGTGGGCATTGGCGCATTTTGGGTGAAAAATCAGCGGGGAAAGGCAGCTTAAGGGTGGGGGGGGTGCCAAACCCCGCTCAAGCGATAACAGGAGAGAAAATTCTCATCTCCATAGCGCCCTGCCAAGCTCTACTCCAGGGGTACTAGTGGGGGCGGAGGAGGTTGGGGGGAAGGCTCGCCCTCCCCCGCCCCCTCTTAAAATACGCCACTATTGTGGAGGCTCTCCGTCCTTTTTATCAGGTCATGGACCGTTATTGATATCGACTTCTAAGGTGCCGGATTTGGTTCCGAACCGACGATATTTATTAATACTTCGGGACACACATTAGGCCTAGGCTTTAACTTGGGCCTAGCCTACAGACTAGGTCGAGCTTAGGCTTACCCTCCTACCTGCAAATAAATCTCAACTATTCCCAGACAGGTCCAAGTATGTCTATAGAGGTGTTCATCAGGGTTCACGAGACATCTCGGCGAGGCCGATCGTGGGCCTATTCTGTCCTTGGAAGAAAGAACGCGTAACGTTATGCTCGCCAGTAGTTCCCATCTCGACCAGATCGGCGGACGGACTGCCTCCGGATTGCTAGACGCCATCCGGTTGGTCCAGTGATGTCCGAAAGCAGTTTCTCTATATCACCCAAAGCGTCGATAGACCGTAGCTGAAAATTGCTTTGAGCTCACCCCATTCCATGAGCCTGGCAAAAAAATTGCTATTCGTAAAAATAGAAAGACCCTGGCATCAATTCCCAAGCGGAAGCCTTCAGGAATCCGATGTAACACTTACCTGATATCAGGCAACCTTGGGCGACGCGACTGGAGCCCGCGCTAAGCTTAAAGGAAATATTCCACTTTTCACTCTGCAAGTCCAATATTTTGGGTGGGTTATCTCATCCAAAATCCTCCACGAGTGGTAGAAAAAAAAATCGGAATGATGTCTTCAAGAAGCGAGATTCACTATTCTCCTCAGCAAAGGAGAAGAGCGTCAAATTCGCTGGAGCGATTCCTTGTCGAAGGCATTAGAACCTTTCCCGAATTCGTTCTTCCAAATGCCCTCTGGAAAGAATACGAATCAAAACGAGAACGGTGTTTGAAGAAACGGGAAAGGCGCCAATTGATTTGCATCAACGGAGCAACTTCATTCTTCTCTTTGACGATTTAAGTTCGAGGGATAGGGATGAATCGCATCGGTGACCAATCACAGAATTCAGCAGGTATGACGTCACGTGACGTCAGAGAATGACATGCTGGTGAGCCCGGAAGCCCGCCACGTGCTCGAGTGAAGATTCCATCCCGTTCTGATGGGTTTGGAGGTTTCCATCGGGAAAGGCGGATTGTTGGCACGACGTGATGCGTTAGGCCGAGAGGAGGTCTGCGTTCCCGCGCATCCACATGGGACTCACATGAAATGTTCGTATGCCAAAGAGAAACGCTTGAATTCGCGAGTTAATTGTGAGGCCTAGTCTTCCGCTTTAGGAAACAGTTTTACGCTTAGGCCCAAACTTCAATCGGGACAGGCCTAGCCGCTTCCCGTACCTTCTTGGGATGCTAAATGTTTTGGTCGGTCGTTTCCGCGGCCTGGACGAACGAATCACTTTTTCCATTCACCGTCTTTGATCTAACAGGTAAGAGATTTCGTCGCTAAGCAATTGCCTTCAATGGGATCTCGTGAGACAACAGTTTCTCCATGTTCTCCATGCAGTTTTAGTCTCATGAAGTGAGTATGACATGGTGTCAGTGGCAGAAAGGTTATTCACTTGGATCAGGTGCTGAGCCTCATCGTTTGCCATTTTAAGGATCAGTTATGCTTGGAGCATCTCCATTTTTCCATGTATTTTGGTGGAGTTTCTATAGTTGATCTGCAAGTTTGGTTTGTGCATTCAAAAACTTCAGCTCCTCATGGATTAGCATCAAGGGTATAAACATTAAGGCTTAATTTCAGTGCCTTTCACCTCTTGACTGTTAATAGTTTCTGTGATTGTGCCTCAAAGTGTTTAATGTAGTTCATCAGTCAACTAATTAATACCAATTTTTTTATGAAAAGGGAACTCATTTCTGATTAGAGATATGGAATGCAGTACATGCTGTACCACGAAAAGGATTGCACATTCAGGCTCCTGAAGATCCCATTGATGAATGTGTTTTGATGCACTTTGTTTGATTGCTTTCATAAAGTATGGAATGAACTCTATGAAGAGTCCTTGCCAAAATGCTTCTGACAGCTATCACATTAGCTCTGAGAACTTGGATTGCAAATTCCTGCCTCTTTTGAGATGTGGGTCCCCCATGCTATCAGGATTGTTACATTGGCATTGTCATCTCACTGCATGGCATTAGGGCTGGTGCATATTAGGGACCATGGTTCCCCTCCACCGTCCCACTGGGTCGATGGCTCGACCGTGCCGATCCTGCACTCTGCTGGCGATTGTGCAAAATTTGGAGTCCTGCATGGACTGAAAGCTGGCCCAATGCCCACAACCCTGCCTAACATAAGAACTAGGTCCACATACAGCTTTGACCACAGAAAGCTCCAAATTTTAATCAATATATTTTGCAATGCCACTACCACTTTTTGTGTCAGCTCTGCAACAGAAAACTACATTATACCCATTTATCTCATATGGATTCCTGCCTATCCCTCCTCACATTGAGCTGCTTTGGGTTGAATTCTTTGAAGTTATTTCTTTTTATCTTGCTTCTTGACAGGAATTAGAGACAGTATGCTTCTGGACTGGAATTTCTTGTTTGGATGTGATGTCAAGAAAATTTATAATTAAGGAGACCAGGGGATGATCTGTTTTTTGCATTGCAGTCTCAAATGATGGGAATGGTTCAGGAAAAAACACCAGCAGAAGTTTTTTCTTTTGGGACCAGTTAAGTTGGGGCACCAATCGAGTCACATGTCTGTGAAGGGCCGAGATTTGCATCGGGTCCATTGGATTGGGTTCCAAAAACTGGCTGACATG